CACACCCACACCCACACCCACATCCACACCTACACCCACACCCACATCCACACCTACACCCACACCCACACCCACACCCAAACCCACACCCACACCCACACCCACACCCCCACCCAAACCCACACCCACACCCACACCCACACCCACACTCACACCCACACCCACACCCACCCGCACACTCACACTCACACCCACACCCACACTCTGTTGACATTTTTGTCACAATCATACCCATGCTCACAGTCAACTAGCATAACAAATTGAAGCATCTACTATTCCCAGATCAAATATAAAATATTCTACTGGAAAAAAATTAATTCTGTCAACTCCTGTTGTTAGTCTTTCGTGACTATTGGTAGGTTAATATTCTTCCAAACTATTTATTCTCATCATCTCGGCTCTGTTTGTGATGCATGTTATTCTATCGTAATATAAGTGACTAAATTGCGTATTTAGTGATAAAGCATGATAGTGTTTAGTGAAGTAGGATTCGGACAAATGCATTAAAAAAGGTAATTTTGTTCATTCTCATAGTCTATAGGATTTTTGATTGCAAATTGAATTTTGGAAAAAAAGAAACCGGATTCTCCGAAATCATGCACACTAGAGGGAATTGTGAATTCAAGAGTATTAGGATTATTGCTATTTCCCTAGGAAAAGCGTTATATTTAAGTTCAGTTGTTTCATCGTTATTTAATTTTTGTCGACGTTGTTAATCTGCACATACATACGTACATATCCGACTAGAACGACTGACCAGAAAAAAAAGAAGAATCGTCACTTATAGATGTGGCACGATATCAGATGAGAACAAAAGATGATAGATAAACGACAAACAAAATATGATAGATAAAGAGAAGAAAGATGTGAGGGTGTCGGTCCGTAACAAAGAGGGATACACATGCTAGGAGTCCTCTTGTTCAAGATGTAAAGTATGTGGTACTTTGCGACTTCGGAATTCCATCCCCAAGTACGAGTATTAGCCTAGAAATCAGAAGCTCTCAAGTCTCTTATCCCAAGAAAACCTTCTATATACGTTTATTAGTGCTATGCCAAGTTATACCAGTGCAGAATTCTAGCATTTTTCTCTAAGATTCAAAAGTCCCCTCAGTTCCACGAGTCTCACATTCCTCACGCCCACTATATATTTATGGATAGCTGTAGAATTCTGAAGCCTTCGATCCATCATTCTTCTTCCAAGCAACACCTGCTGTATATATAACGGATAGGCCGTGCAGATTGCACGACTATTTTTTCGATTTATGTGTGACGCCGACGCTTAATTTTCATTTGAAAACAGATACCGCCTTGTCGTCTTTTCATCTTTTCATATTCTATATAATATCATTATCCATTGTTCTTCTATTCTCCTCAGGATCTATGAGTACCCACATATAATAACTCTCAAGAGTCTATAGATACACCTGTATAATAACTTCTGGAGATCTATGGACAGGGCGTACGAGAAGAACCTGAGATTGCACAGATATGACGAATTTTAGAAAGGCACATGCATTGTTTTTCAGAAGAATCTTGACAAGAAAGAAACAAATTATACTAGAGCTCTACTGTTATCAATACAAAATGCCGAAAGTTTTCAATTATTGGAAGACTGTACCAACCCCGGCAATTACAATTTCGCAGGGTCTATTTTTGAGAACTCCTACACCACACAAACTTAACAGTGTATATACAGCTCTAGAATTCAGAAATTTCGGTGGATTGCCTAGTTTCGGACCGTGAAATCTTTGCTTTTCTCAACATTCAATTTGAGACGAAAGACATTATAAAAGGGCCATAGATTCTTTTCTCTGTAAGCTATGCAAGTAATAGATTACCAAGACAAAAATTGACATAGTGATGTTTTAATAGAAATTGCAATTGAACCGTAAGAAGAGTATTCTGTGAAGGAACGACAGGAAATAAAAACAGAAATGATATTCACCGTTCAAGGAATACTTTTCTTCATTTACAACTTCATTTTTGTATACATATTAATCAAGCATCAAGTACTGGCTCTACTCCCGCATGGCAATAATTTTTTCTATACGAATGCTGATGGTGATGGATATTGTTTACTTTACAATGATATACACGGTGGTATATTTTTTGAAACACCTGCCGCTCATCAAATAATGTTATACTGTATTCGACCTTCAAAAGAAAACAGTAGTATAGTGTTCCCAGATTTTAATAACAGCAAGGATCTTAATTTCACTTTTGTTGCACTCAAAGAAAGACATGTTACTAGTCAAATGCTACTGGCGTGGTCTGCTTCTATTGAACTTGCTGAAGAATATCAAATGTTTTTGAATTCTGATTCCTATTCATCACCCAAAAAGGATTTCTTATTTCATAATTGTACGAAACCATGGTTTGGTCCTTTGTGTCGCTTCCGGTATAGGTGGTCCGACGACTCATTTCAGGAGGTGATTGATGGTTTCATTTTGGAGAAATTACTGGAACACGCGTCTGACAACATTATTGTTACCGCTACGTGTTACATGCATCTGAATTGTAGCGGCAAATGGCCATGCTTGAGCTGGCGTGAAGTTTGTGACAAGAAAGTGGATTGCTCAGATAGTGTTGATGAGATTGATTGCTGGAAACTGGAAGCCAATGAGTGCAACGAAAGTGAATTTCGATGCCAAAACGGTCAATGTATCCCGGTACAATTTTTTTTTGATAAAAGTCATCAACCGGACTGCTTAGATGAAAGCGATGAATATCCACTTCTCATTAGAAAACATGATTGTTTCGCTGATCTTTCGTTTCAATGCGAAGAGCATTTATGTCAATGGGGACAGTATGATTTCTCATGTGGTGATGGACAATGTACTGATGGAATTAAAGAATGTTCGAATGGTCGTAGTCATCTTTTGCCAGCCGATTTTTGCTCTAATACAGTGGAAATGGATTTTTTCAACAATATCAATGGTGCCATTGATACTGAATGGTTGACAACGTTTTGTTCGAAGCTTAGCAAAATGGAAGGTAATCGCTCTATGTTATACGAGTTTCGCTATGTTGCATCAATATTCGGACATGTGCGCCTTTTATATTCCAGTGAAAAAATTCAATCGAATAAACCTTTCTTGCCGGACTATGTATGTTACGATGAGAAGCTCTGCGCTGATTTTCTTCCAGCTACAGCATATTTCAATAACCTGGCATGTCGACATTTTCAAACTTTAGGATTAGAAAATCCAAATTCATATAATGATATAAAAACATTGATTAAAGATATCAAAATTCTATTCAGAGGATGCTTAGTGACAGGAAACGAAATGAAATATTGCAATTTTTCATGGATGTACCAATGTGAGAACTCGACAAAATGTATTTCTCTGCAGCGACTTGTTGATGGTATTCAAGATTGTCCATTTAATGATGATGAAACATTTAACGAAAGTTGTTCACTTAAAGATATTCGTCAACGTTTTAACTGTTCGTTGAATGGCAATAAAATATGTTATGCACTTACTGTTCTTAATAATAAGATTGATTGTGATAACGGCGAAGATGAACTTCAAGAAAATAAAATATTACGAAAGAAACACATATATTTTCGGACAATATGCGACGGAATAACAGAATTACAACCTGTATTGATTGATGGACGTTATGAAACAGATGAAACAGATTGTAGCCATTGGTTATGTAACAATACTAACAATAGATGTGACACCCGCTGGATGTGTGAAGATGGTGCTGATGAGGTAAATTGTCCATCATCGACTTGTTCGAAAGATCATCACAGATGTGTGTTTCTGAATAATACATCAAATGTATCATGTTTGCCAATAGCTCTAGCTGGAAATGGCATTCAAGACTGTCTCGGTGGAACGGAAGAACTGGTAGGATATTTACGAAACAGTTCTCCTGAGGAGGTTTATTATACTTTTCAATGCTGGAATGATACGAAACGCATTAAAACTAGAAGTATTTGTGACGGAAGGATGGACTGTATTTTTCATGATGACGAAACATTTTGTGAGAATATCAGACCGAATGGATTTGAACAATGCACCAAGTCAGAGCCACCTATGACAGAAATCGAAAAATTTCTTGGCTCCTGTCACATCAACATGCGGCCAACAGAGAAAGTACATTTTAAATTATTTAATAGCATTACATACCCACCACTTTTAAAGATACACAAGAGTCGCATGTTACCGTCGACTCTTAAAAATACTCCTTTTTCTAAAAGCGATCTCTCTATCAGTACAGAATTAGATTCTGAATGGCCGTGCAATCGTGGAATAGATCTTTATGTTCGAATGCCTGATTTTACCGCGCAATTATACTGTCTTTGCCCACCAAGTTTTTATGGAGATAGATGTCAATATGAAAATCAACGTGTAAGTGTCTCGCTTCAGATTCGAGTTGAAGCGCACTGGTATGATTTACTTATATTTCTGATAACTCTGATTGACAATGAACGAAATATTGAAGCACATGATTACGTTGAATATTTACCGATTCGGGACTGTCGAAATAAATTTTATACCTATTTATTATATGCAACGAGGCCGAAGAGTGTATTAAAAAATTACTCAGTACAAATCGATGCATTTGTTCAAATGACAATGGTATATCGTGCTAGCTGGATTTTTCCACTTCAATTTCCATTTCTTCCTGTTCATCGTGTAGCTGTTCTTCTAGAAATTCCTATTTCGAATGCCCAGCCTACACACAGATGTTGGCCACCGTGCAAACATGGCCAATGCTATTTTTATATCAACAAACAGAACTCAACATTCTGTCTTTGTGAGCAGGGTTGGTCAGGGATACAGTGCAATGCGAAAGAGGCATGTGACTGTGCCAACGGTTCCTTATGTATTAGTAAGTCAATCTGCTTATGCTCTAATGATCGATTTGGTCCTCAATGTAATCTGTTACGGCTGCCATGCCAAGCTAAATCATGTCTCAATGGCGGAAAATGCTTATCTTTAGATGTGAGATATATACCTGGATATTTGCAGCAGGCAATATGCGTTTGTCCAAAAGGGTTTATAGGTGAATATTGTCAACTTCAACAAGCACCAATTCGAATTTATTTAACTTTTCATCGGAAAATAAGCATTCCACCATCAGTAATTATTCATTTTATCGATGTTCAACTAAAAATGGAACCCAATCGAACAAGTGTAATCAAAAATATTGGATTCAATCAAGATTCATTAACTCTTTATATCTCGCTTTGGTTTAACATAGCTATTGCGCAAATATTTGATCGCTACCATCTTATTATTCTTCAAGAAGAAACAATTCTCTCGGCAAATATATCAACAGAAGTCATGCCATCGAATCAATGTCAATCTATTCAGGAACTGCTCAATGGAACATTAGCGAGTCAACATTTGTTGAAACGCATAAAATATTATCATGTACCATGCCAACAGAATCAACAGTTAATTTGTTTCTTTGATGATGTTTACATATGCTTCTGTACTCTTGATCGACAATCTAATTGTCTCGAATTTGATCATAATGAAATTTATAATTGCGGTGGAGGAAATTTCTGTGAAAATGAAGGTTACTGTTTCCAAGAAGATCCTAAATGCCCTACACCACCAATCTGCACTTGCCGTCAATGCAATTTTGGATCACGATGCCAGTTCTCTACCAAAGGATTTACACTTTCTTTGGACATTATTTTAGGTTATCACATTTATCCCAGAACTGGAATTAATCATCAGTCATTTATTGTAAAAGTCGCCATAGGAATCGCCACATTTATGTTTATTTTCGGTCTTATAAATGGCTTTCTCTCCTTTCAAACCTTTCGAGGAAAAGAAGTACGTACAGTTGGCTGTGGTCATTATCTTTTTGTATCATCAATCATATCCATCGTAACTGTGATAATATCCACAGCGAAATTTTCAGTTCTCTTAGCGTTTCAGATCGGTTCCATAAACAATCGTTCTTTTATGCACATACAATGTGTCTGCATCGAGTTTCTTCTTCGATCTCTTTTGAGTACTAATGATTGGGTTAATGCTTGTGTAGCCATTGAAAGAATTGTCGTTGTAAGAAAGGGTACTAAGTTCAATAAAACAAAGAGTAAACAAGTAGCTAATTGGATGGTTTGGATTGTCCTCTTTCTCACTAGTTCTATGTACGCTTATGACCCAATTTATCGTGGTCTAATTGACGATGATCAAGACCAACGTACATGGTGTGTTACTCAATATTCATCATCTCTGCAAATGCTTGACTGGATTTTGAACATCTTTCATTTTTTTATTCCATTTACAATTAATGGTATTTCTGCTATGATTATCATCCTAACTGTTGCTCGGACTCGATCCAAATCTCAGAGAAAGACATCTTTTGAATCACATCTCTACAAACAACTTAAACATCATAAACATCTATTAATCTCGCCATTGCTTCTTATTCTATTGGCATTACCTCGTCTAATTATTTCATTTTTATCTGGATGCATGAAAACAGCTAAAGATTCTTGGTTTTATCTCATCGGTTATTATATTTCGTTAATTCCACCAATGACAACGTTTGTAATATTTGTTTTACCATCGGACACCTATAAAAAGGAATTTCGTGAATCAATGAAACGATTTTACTAACTCTGCAATGTAACACGACTCTGTGCCAATAATATATGGACATCCTTTATTGTTCGCATATCTACATCTCCATTTTGTTGATTATCCTCTGAGTCTGTCGTATAGAAAGGAGGAATACTTTTGGATAAGTGTTATGTAGTAGGTCATTATCAATGAGCATTGTATAACCTACAACTGTCGTCAATCTCTCTGGTCTTCTTCTTAAGGTTATCCGTATATCTTTGCGTAACACAATTGCATCTTTAAAGGTAATTAGTGCAATGCGATTATGCCTATCATATATTTTTCTGTTCTTTTCCCTCTCTTGTATGCGCGTATATAAAGCGTGTGCTTTGCGTTGTAATTCAGAACTGGAACAATAGTAGAACTGGAATGATGTAGAACGTGGAAGAGTATAGAACGTTAACATCATGTACACCGAGGATAGCGGTAACAATACTATTCCAGTTTCTCTTTGTGATCACAAATAAAATAAATACTGCAGTAGTAACGAATATAACTATCCATTATTATCAACATTCAAATAAATTCGTTACAGACTCGATGACACATATACCCAGGAGATTTAATCCGATAATCGGACCGACTAAGATCCTATAGGAACCCATGGGAATCCTATCGGATTCCGATAAAAACCAACAGGATACCATCGGATTTATAACGGAATCCGGGCAACGAATCCACCAACGGAACACTAGGATCGGAATCCATGCAGGATCCGACTACCGGAAAAAATGGGATCCTGACGCCGTATCCGATGACATCCTAATATACGATTTCACAGGAAACAGACAGTGGAACACCATAACTGTACGGAAAACCGCCCCCAGAACGAGCATTACGGCGAGCAGAACCGGCTGTAATACGGCCGTAAATCCTCGTATACGGTGCCCGCATATGACCGCAACTCGCCGTATATGGCCCCTGTAAACGTCGTATGCAGGCCCATTTCCCGTATCTAATCAGGACAAACTTTCCCAAATATTATACTCAGAACATATAGGCATGTTCGCGGAAATCCCAGGATTATCGACGACGCCGTATCAATTCGTGGGTACAGGGGTAAGACTACACAATGTCTCGCATTGAGAAATCGAATGTCGCCCTTTCATTGGCCCATTAAATGGACCAATCAAAATTTCACGAGGACTTTTCTCTCTTATTATAAGGACAACGCATAGTCATGTTCAGGCCGATTGTTGGGTTATCGAAGATGCTCTATCGATTGATGGGTATATGTGGGGGTCCATTTGAAGTCCTTCACCCAGAATAAGAGAAGGAGAGGTCCCAATGAAACTTCAGGAGCACCTTTCTCTCTTATTATAAGGACAACACATAGTCATGTTCAGGCCAATTATAGGGTTATCGAGGATGCTCTATCGATTGATGGGTATATGTGTGGGTGCATTTGAAGTCTTTCACCCAGAACAAGAGAAGCAGCCCGGTCATACAAAATTTTTCAAAAACGCGTTTAAACACTATAGTTTCCTAAACCGTTTTCGCTTCCCAGTTGGTGTTCCCGACTACTACCCACAAACGCTACAAAAGAAACGCCGAAAAAAAGCTCAAATCTTTCACGAAACCCTATTTTCGCCATAAAAAATCTATTTTTTGTCTTGGCGTGAAAACGCAACCAGAAAGACGTCTCTTAAACCACTATGTTTTCCAAATGTTTATGGATACCATTCGGGAACACCGATGATGACCAAAACACGGCGCATAAAAAACGACGCGAAAACGCCCACCTTTTCTAGTAACTCTCACATTCCTACTTTCCTGATATCCACATTAATCACATTTATACTGCAAATGAAGCTACAAACTCAGTTGTAGGCATCCTAATGGTACCAATATATCTTCTACAGGTACCATAATGGTACCTACACACCCCCAATAGGTACCTTATTTGAACCGACATACCTCCTATAAGTACCCTATTGATACCTAAATAGCACCTCTCGGTACCCTATTGATACCTAAATACCACTTATAGGTACCCTAATAGTACCTACATACCACTTATAGTCACCCTATTGATACGTAAATAGCATCTGTAGTCACCCTATTGATACCTAAATAGCATCTATAGGCACTCTATTGATATCTAAATACCACTTATAGGTACCCTAATGGTACTTATATACCTTCTATAGGTACTGGAATGATACCTACATAACTCCTATAAGTAGTCTAATGGCAGCTAGCACCTTCGGACAGCTATCCTTATCGTAGCTATGCCGGAATTATGGTTTGGAAATCGTTGCCAACTTTTTTCTATAAAGAAAAGTCTACATTTAATCGAACAACAATTGGACTCGATAAAGTATCCTTCTACAACATATCATGTACCATCTCAATTGAGACATTTTCGGACATATAAAGGAAATGAATATTGAATGACATTGTTATTTGGTTACCGGTAAGCTTTCAATGGTTGATGAAAATAATAGACAATTTTTTTTCTTTCACGGCAGTAAACTCATTTTTGATTACTTCAAAGGCTGTTTAAAAAACAAATCGATGAATAATTCATTTCTAGTTCCATTCTTAAGAGAAGGCTATCTAATATTTGCGGCATATGTAGAATAATGGTCAATAAGTGATCATCAAAATGATGACTAATCTTCAATCCGATAAAAGTCGTTCGAAATATAAAATTTAATGTTTAATATATAAATAGATTGGCATATATATATATGTATGAATATTTTGATATTTCAAAACAGCTCTTCCCTTACAGTATTACAAACACTTAGGACTTTTGGCATTCGCTTTAAACCTAGCTGAAGCCTCTTCTGTAAATCAACATTGAATTGAAATTATTGGTACTTTGTTAGATGAATTCGACAAACTATTTCCATTTTTGTATTCTGTAAGTAAATTTTCTCATTTTTCTCAATATTGTGCATTACAATTTTCACGTGCTTTTAAGGATTCTTAATCGTTTCTGATTTATTCTATTATGCATTTATGAAAGACATGTCTAAAAATATGTCAATCCCATTCATCAACGAGAGGAAGATTCCATAGAGGATACTTAAAAAATAAAAAGAGAAAAAATAAACGCAAATTGACTGAACAACAATATACGATACGTATTATTAATACTCGCGCACAAAAGAGCAAGAGAGAAAGGAAAAACAGGTGAAGATAATATTGAATAAGCAGTTATACATCTTGATGAATATATTGGTGATACTCATCAACCTATTTATACTGTTTTATCGAAGTCGCGATTCTGACTACGAAATATTCTTTCTGAATCCGTTTTCGATTTCAATAAAGTCACGTTTTATGTTTCAAATCTGTCTGGTAATCAACAACAAATTAGCCACGACATACTATATCAATTTTATTATCAAATTTTTAATCTAAGAAATGTGTATTAAAACCTTGTTGCGATTCGAATCACTTATGTACAAACAAAGCATTTCTGTCGTTAAGTGAATTGCCTTGCACAAAATTCTAAATTCAAATTCATTAGATATTACCTTTGTGGATAAGAGAACAAAAAAACAAATCATTGATAGAATCATAATTTTGATATTCGATAATTTAACTGACGGTGTCGAACTTACTGCTGAGTTGTATATGAATAAATGGCAGCTTCTGTTTCGTGCAGACTTCAAGTCTAGTTTTCTAAAGAGTAATCTGTTCATTTCGATCAAAGAAAGTGGTTTTTCAGCAAATATATAATGTTGTATTACGCATAGATAGTGTCAGAATAAGAAAAGTAAAGAAAATAATCATTTTTAATGGAGACAGTTTCGATTCGGTTTAAGTAATTATTATTTTATTCAAGGCAACTGTTCAATTCAGGTGCATCGGCGGTTTTATAAAAATCATTTTTAACTCAAAGATTATTGCTCTGAGTCATTAGCCTAATGCTAATTGATTCAATGTTCGCAAAAACAGATTTAGATTTATTCTGACGATTTCTGCTATGAGCTAAGATCTATTCATTGGCATTTATATTTTTTTCAGAATACCGTATCTTTTATAGGCTATTTTTCGAATTATGTAATTTCTTGGAAAAATCGGTAACTTCTGTTGTGCACTCCATGATATACGTATGTCAAACATTTAAGGATTTCGGACCAATTCAAAATTACTCAACTTTTAATTTTGAAAGCGTAATTGGTATATTTTGAAAACGGAGTGACTGTTTTTTTTCTTAGGATTGCTATCTACTATTCGTTATTGCAGGTTCTCTTGTTCAATCTGTAAACGGAGCCAATTTAATTGCTTCAGAACTAACCAATAACATTAATATTTTGCAGGGTGCTGCCGCTCATCTTTCTAAAATAACCTTCAACAAACTGCTTCAATTATTTATCAGGCGTTTGTTTTGTTCAGACCAACAACTACACTAAAAAAAAAGAGTCGAATACTAAACCCTTAAAATGTTTATCAAAATGCAACGTATGAAATACCCTTTTTTACCGTTTATCAGCATATTATATACCCTTTCATAAACCCTTCAAAAGACTCAAACAAGGGGTTTTTCAAGATAAAATACCGTCCATGGAAAGGTTTATCAAAGGGTATATAAAAATGAAGAACGAAAAAACGGTATTTCATACGTTGCATTTTCCTAAACCCTCAGTAAGGGTAGATGAAATTTCAAAACCACTAGATTTGCCAATGCTTTCTCCTTCATAAATGGGTAGTTCAAAAGGTTGATAAGTTGCATCAACCATACATAGGTTGATCAAAGGGTAGATCAGTGGGTTGATATGCTGCGTCAACCTCACATGGATTTATCAAAGGGTACTTCAGTGGGTTGATGCATTGCCTCAACGTCATATGGGCTGGTGGAAGGGTACATCAGAAGGTTGATGTGTTGCCTCAACCTCACATGGGTTTATCAAAGGGTAGATCAGTGGGTTGATGTCTTCCATCAACCTCAAGTGCGTTGATCAAAGCTTACATCAGAAGGTTGACGTGTTTTCTCAACCTAATATGGGTTGATCAAAGGGTACATCAGTGCACTCTAAAAC